TAAAAGTAAATCAGAAGAGAATTTATAGTAAATAAGCAGGCAAATTTGCCTGCGAACCTTTACAGTTTAAGGGATAACGGACGATTTTTATGCTTTACCGGAATTTTTTTCACGCTGATCGGCGTCACGCGCACGTGATTTGGGATATTCACTTTACGCGTCTGTGCGACTATACTTGGCTTCCCCAAAATTTTTTTAGGAATGTCACAAAATAATAATGGCTGACAAATTACACGAATATTTCAAGCTTCCTCTGAATGATGTGTTACAGGCTTTCTAGATGAATGCGAGACAGAGCCTTTCGAACGGAAGATAGATCAGTACCTTAGGTGTCTTTATACAATTGCTGGCGGTGTGGAAGACAAGAGGAAGGAAAGAGCGGAGACACTTCTTAAGAACTACAAAGAGGCAAGTAAATTTATGTCAAAGGTATAGGTGAAAAAATGGTGAAAAAATAGTGGCGTGATAGGGGGATACCCACTCGGTTCTCTGTCATTCAAGGCCATTCGCCGAGCCACAAAACCAGTGCTGGGGCACAGGTGACCCATTCGGTTGTCTGATGTTTAAAGGCCACTCGCCGAGCTGGCATTGGACCCACTAGGGCACAGGTGACCCACTCGGTTGTCTGATGTTTTGGTGGGATCGGGAATAAATAGGAACCAGAAGTGTGTTAGCGAAGAATATTATTAAGATTTTCAAATCTCTTGCTAGGATCCTCAAACAGATCGAAAAGAAGCGAGAAAATGGAATGAAGAGCGTTCTCGCAAGCAGGTTCATTATCACCAGCCGATAATTACTGACATCAGTGGAAATATGACCGGGAATATAGGGACGATGACTGGTGGATCGTTCGTTTTTGAACCGAAAAGAGAAGTGGAAGATCAAGAACTATTTGGGAGAAAAAAGGATGAAATCCAAAAAACAATTGCAAATTCCGAAAACAATATGTTTTCAGCATCCGAGGATTAGGCACGATAGTTCTCATTGGGAATATGTTTAACATCAAAGTTCTATTTGCCCTAATGCTTTTTTTTTTTTTCTGTGAACAGTATGTACATTCGCAGGAAACTTTAAACGAAGGTATAAAATTACCAGCTTCTAGCAAACGAGGAAATGAAACAACTGAAAAAGACATTTCTAAACGTAAAAAGGTTAAAAAGGTAAAAAATTATAGGTGGTAAAAGCTACAAGAACGTAAAAACTTATGTACATTTTTCTATATTTAGACAAGAAAGAGCGTGAAAAGTGATCTTCAACCAGGAAACGGAAGATCTTCCGAGTCTCCTCTCTCTGATGAGAGTAATAAAGAACTTGATGAAGACGATATGGAAATTAAGTTCGATTTAACAAGTATTTCAACCGAATTACAACGTGAACCGATAGTCAAAGTATGACACATATTTAATTTTGATTCTTTACTACATGTACCTTACAGTTTGATTCTGTTTTTAGTGGAATGTTGGTCACATTAATGTAACCGATCGGTTTCGGCAGTACCAGAAAGAGATTATTAAGAAAGCGGAAATAAATGGGTTGAAATACGATAACATATATGAACTCTTGTATGTATTCTGAAATATGTAACATTTGACTGGCAACGATTTTATTGAGCATCTTTTTTCTTATTATATTTAGGGCTTTATCATCGATTATTGTCCTCTCCTGGCCATGTCCGTACCCCTCTTTATTCACAATTCAAGAGTGGAAGGAAGTCACAGAAAGTAATCCTCGCGCTGTCAAAAAGTCCTTATTTCCACCGGAAATTTTGTCATCTCTCAACGAAGCGTCATTTAATCATTTTCTCGGCATGGACACATTCATGGAAGGTGGAAAGTCGAAACTAGGCAGACTAATTGCACAATCGTTCAATGACTTGTAAGTAATGTGATTTTATAATATATACATGGGATTGTAGCTTATATAATTTTTTTTACGTCGTAGATATGACAGCACTATGAAGATTGCTCCGTTAAAGCTGTCCGAAGAAGAGCATTGTTTACATTTTGTCTATCCAATTGCCCGTCCATTTTTCGTTGGTGAAAAAGAATACGATTTAGTATTGAACCGTTCTAATACGGGTTCTAAAAGAAGACCGGACCTTTCATGTGTTGTAGATGGTGTACCAATATTGAATTCAGAATTTAAACCCTTAGGTAATACACCATTACAACGATTAAAGGATAGATTAAAGGCACAGTTAAAGGCCCGGAAGTCTATCAATCAACAATTGCAAAGTAAGGGAGGTCCGGGCGAAGCTGTTATATTTTTAAACATGGGTAGGTGGGAGATTGTATGAGAATTTATTTTTTATATATTATATATTGATTTGTTTTCTGTGACAATTAGGCGATTTGATGGAATCTTACTCCATGGACCTTAAGTACGACGGTTTATACCGTTCCTGGCCATTCCTCACTACCAGATTGGTAGTTGACAAGACAATGATTCCGCTTGCGGGAGTCGCGATTTATCATTTGGCATCTTTAGAGGTATATATCACATTTTTCTTGTTTATATTGAGAATTTTCACTTAATTTCATTCGCCCTTTACAATGACAGGAGCACGTTGAACGGATCGCAAAAGATTTTAAATATCGAACATGTCGTAGTGGAAATACTACACCAACCGAACAAATGTCTTTTATGCGTAACTTTCCGGATTCACCACAAGTTAAAAAATTGATTCATTAAATTAGGGTTGGTTCATCATTTATTAGATTTAGAATCTGATGTATTTAGATTGGGTAGCATAAATGTATATTTTCGCATCTATTATTGTCAACAATTATGTATATGTAACTATAGTATATAACTGCAAAATAAATACATATCTGATGTTACATTCCATTTTTATATTTCCGGATTTTATACACATTTAAAAAAAGCGGGGAATGCATTTATCGTAATAAAATAACAGCTGAAAAAAATAATAAATGCCGATTAGCATTTAAAGATTCGAGTTTATTCAATGAGACCCAATTCTCGAAGATGCTCTGGAATAACTACATATGGGTCTTCGTAATACCAAACGTACCTTAGGGCAATCTGATTCTCTTCACATAATTCTTTCTTGAGTTGATCCCGTGCTTGCTGTTTGATAAAATTATTGGGATTGTCATTATGAAAGAATTCTATATATCTTTTGTGTTGTTCTCCTTGCACTTCAGTTGCAAATCCATATTGCGGGTAATAAATGTCAAGTTCTAATCCAGTTGGGTGATCTAAAGTTTTAAGAAAATCAGGTCGACGTATCTTAGATGGCGGTCCAAGATATTTTGACATTATCTCTCGACACAAATTTTCTCTTTTATATTTTGAGCAGTAGGGACACCATGTATTATTATTTTTTACATAAGAAAGTCTAGCATATCATTGATGATTTTTACTGCATTGCCAGAGTAACTGACCATTACAATTAACATAAGGATCTGTTAAACAATCTCCACCTCGACTATATGCTATGGCTTTAGCTTTCGAAATTCCAAGTTTTGTGCTAGAGCAATAGGGACACTAAGAGTTACTATACTTTATACTAGCAAAAGTGCTATACCAAATATGATTTTTATTACATTTCCAGAGCAAATGTGTTTTGGTGTTGATATATGTAATAGATAAACACTCTCCATTTTTA